TGGATCACACAGAAACAAAAGAATTAAAATACAATGATGGGGCCAGTGCCGAGGCTCAACAGGCTAATCTTCCGCCTGCGGCGCCGGCACACCGGGTTCCAGTCCCGGTCAGGGCGCCGGATTCTGTCCCGGTTGCTCCTCTTCCAGTCCAGCTCTCTGCTGTGGCCTGGGAGTGCAGTGGAGGATGGCCCAAGTCCTTGGGCCCTGCACCCGCATGGGAGACCAGGAGAAGCACCTGGCTCCTGGCTTCGGATCAGCACGGTGCACCGGCTGCAGTGCACCAACCACAATGACCATGGGGGTGGGGGGTGGTGCACCAACGGAAAAAGGAAGACCTTTCTCTCTCTCTCTCACTGTCCACTCTGCCTGTCCCCCCCCCAAAAAAAAATACAATAATGGAACAAGTAATAGCATTGAAGATTTCATCATATATACTGCCTTGATTTTTACTATGAATTAGACACAGCTAGGAAAATCATTCCCAAGAACAGGTGCAATTAGGCATCTCCAGCTATAAAGAGTGCATAGGAAAAAGAAGAGATGAGTGTAGATATTAATTGTGTCTGTCTCGTCGTTGGATCCCCAGGGTCCAGCCCCAGGCCTGGGGAAGGGGAAATGCTTAGTTCATGTGTGATAATAACTGTGATACCAAGGAGTCTGCAGAGCAAGAATAAAGACAAAGTCAGCAAACCGAGATTATGATATGAAGACTGGAAGGATAAAAAGGGCCCTAACATAATTTTCCATTTCTACATTTACATTATGCCATTGCCTTTGATAGTCCCTGTGCCCTCAAGTTAGAACCCATGTCTGGGAGAACTGTTCTTATCTCCTGCAGCATCCCTTGAAGTCGGATAAAGCAGCTCTTGTCTACAGTGCCCACTTCAACCCAGAACTTACTCAGCAATTGTGGTTTTCTGAAGTCATTAAGCAAAGCAGGCAGGTTTCTGCACAGTCTCCTTGCATCCAAATCTGCCAACAGCCTGAATCACATTATTCAGGATGTTTGCAAAAAGAAGGGAGGGGAGGAGGGCAGAAGAGCCACCTAACCTACTTCACCACTGAAAAACCACTTTCCTAATTCCAAGTCAATCAAATTCTTCATCTTCCTTATTAGACAACACTCTTCTTAAAAGAATTTATTCATTTATTTTTCTTGAATTTGAAAGGCAGAGAGACAGAGAAAAGAGAGACAGAGAAAGATCTCACTCAGTCTGTTGGTTCACTCCTCAAATGCCAGCAATAGCCAAAGTCAGGTGTCAATCTAGGTTTCCCACCTGAGTGGTAGGGATCCAAGTACTGTAGCCATCACCTGTTCCTCCCAGGGTTCACAACAGTAGGGAGCTGGAAGCAGAAGCAGAGTTGGGACTTCAACTCAGATATTCAGATACAGAAAGCCGGCTTCCCAGGTAGGGTCTCAACTGCAGCATCAAACGCCCACCCCCTTACACCCCTTACATAACAAACCAGAAGCCAGCAGTTTTCTTGGTGGCAATAGTCTAAAACCTGGTTAACAGAAAGGAATCCTGTAGTGAGATGGCTCATACATGCAAACCACGTACAGCAGAAGACTGATTCAATGCCATTTCCTGGCACCTGTGTGACAAAGAAGTTAGAAAGGTACAGTGTTTGAGGACTGTGTTGTGTCCAGCTTATATAAAACCGAGAGAGAGGAACAGAAGCTTAGACTTTTAATTAAAGGCATTTAGTCAGTACTGCTACTACGAAATGCCAAATTCCAAAATAGGGGACAGTAGCAACAGTCACATGTGGGCTCTGTTCCCAGTTCTGAAGATTTCAAATGTCAGTTCTACTCCTTATGAGCTATGTGACCCTGGATTAAACTGCTGATCTGAAATGAGATATTGCTTATAAAACCAGAGTAACAGTGAGTAGGGCGTGGTAAGCACCAGGTGCTATGTTATTAGGCCTTTTATGACATGTAATGATAATAATGCATTTTATATTACATTACAATAATACAAATAATTGCATTTAATTCTCACAACAACCCTGTAAAGTAGTTATTATTAGTAGCATCTTACAGATGAGGGTTCAGGTTCCTCTGACTCAAGCCTTTGTTCTTTAACCCCGCCTCCAGAACACCCAAGCACTGTTTTTTCCAGACTAGAAGGTCCCAACCTACTGAGTAGAGTTGAGACGCAATAGAGTAAAACGCGTTGGGTTACTGTGGCATGGAGAGGGATCCCTACCTCTATTTTAATAGTACTTAGATCAACTGCAGGGCATACAGATAGCTATGCAGAAAGCCCTTCAATATTGTCAAGTTACAGAGAGCTGTTTTCTTTTGTGCTGGTTTTGGGTTGCAAATCTGGAGAATGTATCTGTGGGGCTGTTTACCCAGTGTGTCAAAAACAGACCCAGGGCAGGCCACACATCCTAGGCTGACACTGTTAACTGCAGCTCTGTTGTTTCAGCTAGGAGGCAGTTTCCATGCCAGCGTGCAGCCCTTTTGTGTTTTTACAGCTCCATCCCAGGCCACATTTGTTTAGGCGCACTCATATCTCTAGTTCAGCTGCCTCCTCCCAGGCTAAAATAACACTTGGCTTAGGTACTAAGAAAACGCTGCTGTTGTCATTTTGCAGTGCTAGCATTTGGGGAACTCACCGCCCAATGCTGAGTGCTTTGTGTGCTCACGGATTGTTCTCGTTAGCCATATCCTGCACAGTTTCCTCTGTAGCCTTCTAGGGCTTCCCTTCATCCAGTCACACTTTCTTTTGGGAGGCTCCTCTTCCCCTCTCAAATCCAGTTCTTTGCTACTCTGCAATAATGGCAATAGTAATACAGGAGTAACAATAACAAACAGCAATAATAGTATCAACAGCCTTTTCATAGCCTTGGAAGGGAATTCCAGATGTGTTGGTATCAGTTATTTTCTGAATGAGCAACAAGAAAGCATGGTAGGGAAGGCAAGAAAATTCTAAGCATTTGCCTGATTTTGTTTCAAGCGATACTTTTCTTTTTCTTTCAAGCTTTTATTTAATGAATATAAGTTTCCAAAGTACAGCTTATGGATTACAATGGCTTCCCATTGAGACAGCTAGGATTCCAGAGTCAAAGAACACATAGAAATTTTCTGAGCTTTATTTCCATTATGCTGAAACAGAGGCAGGACCATATTTTTGCACATGACCAGTAAGCAGCAGTCATCATAATCAGCATCACCACTAATCCTCAGACAGGAAAAAAACCCCTTTCATTCAAGTTTCTCCTCCCTCACACCCACATCCCAGGTTCATGGCCCACCTCTACCAAGCACTGGATCAATTCAGTTTGATGTGATTATGATCGGTATGTCAAAAATCACAAGGCCACACACATGAGTATTTATAGGGCTGTTTCATGATGATGAAAATTTCTCAGGAAATCAAAGCAAGTCCTGGTTTGGCCACCTCCAGAATAAATCAACTTTACCACCACCCCATCTAGTAAAGATGTGCAAAGATCTTATGATTCTAACCCAAAGCAAATCCTCAATCTGTGAATCAGTTCTTCTCTTAACTCATGGAGAGTCAGGTCTCTCGAGACCCTGGAAGACTCAAGTTCACCTGGACCAATCTGGACATCCAATCTCCCCGATACCCTGACCTACTTTCAGAATCAATGAAAAGAGTGTCAGTCAAGTGTTTTCCTTCATTTTCTCTCCTACTCACACTCCCAGCACACTCTGCTGCATCTGCAAAATGCAAAAAACCCAACAAAAATATTTCTTTCCTCTAATTTTATTACAACATAATATTCTATAAATATTGCTATGTTATAGAATCCAATTTCACTGTAATAACATTAACTTCCTATAATAAAAACCCAATTTGTGCCACCTTCTCATTAAGTGGAATGTTACTGCTCCCATTGACACCAGGCTACAGAGAACCTCACTCTAGATTTGACCTCCCCATTCTCAGAAGAATCTCCTTAGTGGCACAGAAGTGAGAAATTCAGTGCAGATCATTCCTCTTCAGGGCCTGAGACTTAGAATAGAAACAAAGAAAGGAGTTTGTCAAGGGTGGTTTTTCCCTTCAGGGTAACATGTCTCAATGTACACTATCACTTAGGCATCTAATCCTTTCTGGGCTATCTCTAGATAATATAGGTAATACTCAAGTCACTGCCTTTATTTGCAGAACTGTGGAATATGGAGGAGCTGAGCCAAACATCACCACAACTCTCCAGGGTGTAAGAAAGTCTACTCAGTACTTCTTGATGTTGACACACACCAAATTGAAATTGAATACAAATACATATTGACCAAAGCCTTAATATGCATCTTATTCACAAAGCATTTCCTACAGTGAAGACATCAGCAGAATTTTGAGACCTTGCCTCTCTTTGTCTTTTTTCTCAATCTGTATATTTAAGTCAACAAAATTATATGTATGACTTATGAAATAATTTGACACAAGTACTTTCTGCCCTAGTTTCTTTCCATTATTGGGATTTCTGTAATAGGTTTAAGAAAAAACACTTGTCACATAACCTACGGGGATACTTAACCTCAATATCAGCTGGAGAAATCCTAAATTTCCCAGGAAGTTCACTCAATGCTCTGTCCTTTAAAGCAACATGAATCAAATATCATGTAGTTTATTTCATTGGGAGGCACCTATGGCCCATGAAGTGACCTCTTTAAAAACCTTATTGAGTAAATATCTGGACTCTAAAATAAATTTCCCACAGCATTTTCTAAATTTAATTTCTTTCACTGAGATAACTAAAGAAACTGGGACCCCAATTAATCCTTTTCCTTGCAGTATAGAATTAAACTTCAATTTAAATGTTGCACAATTAGATATTCCACAAAGACTTGATGTTGTGAATACACTGTGAAAGCAATAAATATCCCATAGGAAACAAAAATCCGCCTTTGAGTCCCTCCAGTATGGCTTCTCCCACCACCCGCCATATACACCGCTCTTGCTGAGGTGGCCACTGGCCTCTATGTCATTAAATCCCACTGAGGATTTCAGTCCTCAACTTACTTGACTCCTCAGCAGCCTTCAGCACAGTTGACAAGCTCCCCTTCTTGAAACTCTTGACCCTTGGATACGGGACAGCACAGGCTCCTTGCTGTCCTTCTACCTCTCCCGTTCTCCTTCTCAACCCTGAGTTCCAAATGCTCCCCTGCTTGACCTCTAGATGTGGCAATTCCTCAAGGCATAGTTCTAGGATCCCTTTTCTTCTGACTCCATGCTCTCTCCCAGTGTGATCTCATGCATCCCCAGACCTTTAAATACCATGCCAGCAACTCCCAAGTTTAACTTCAGCCCAGATCTATTTCCTGACTCCAGACTCATCTATTTAATTACTGACTTGTCATCTCTAAGGATGGCTCACGGGCATCTGGAACTTGACACGTGTCCAACTGTATTTTGGATCTCCAGGCAACGGCCCCTCCATCAACAGCAGTACTCCTGTAAGACTCGTGGGAGTCACCCTGAACACTTCCTTCTCCTTCACCCCCTCTATTCCCCAACCCCTGCTTGTCCCTCACCTCCTCTCTAGTCCAAGGGCCTGGGTCTCTTGCTAGACCACTGCATGGGCTGCCCAATCTTTTTCATCCTTTCTCCACCAGCAACAGGTAACAGTTTCTCAAAGCACACATCTGAAAACATCACTACTTACACAATATAAAAGCTCAGTCCAGTTTTACCCAGAGAATTTATAACAAAGCCCACAATTTTAGGGAACGGTGGCATAGACTACTAAATGATATTTTCTCTTCTTTTTTACTGTTGTGAATCTGAATGAACTTTTACACTTAACATGTCTGTGTCACTCCCACTGAGAACAAGAGACATTTTCAGCTTCTTAGAAAGCTCATGCCCTGTCCCACTCACACCTTCTTCAGAAGTAGCCACTGTTCTGGCCTCTGTTACAATGAATTAGTTTTATTTGTTTTTGATATCATATACTTTGGCTCATAGAGATGAACAATTTTTTAAACTAAACCAAATTCTTCCAAGACGATTAGACCAGCATTAAGACGGTGACTTCCTGGGGCATCACCTGAAGTCAGATGTTCAGTTCTAGTGTCTCAGCTCTGAGCAGTTTGTTAATTAACAAATGAGAAAAAAATACACATAGCACTCCAGATTAAGTTGTCCCTATGAACTGTTCCTCAGTATTTATGATGACATAGGGACTACTTCATTCTACCAGTGGGCTTTGAACCAAGATGGATAATGAGTCTGCTAGGGAAATGTAGTCAAAGAGAATTGTCTTTTGATTCAAGGAAAGACCTAAAAGTGACAAAAATTAAAAGTGGGGCAGCACGAGCAAAGTGTATGGTTACAATCTAAGCAGAAGAAAGGAATTAAGGCCTTTCCAGGAGAGTTGGATCGCAAGTATTGGGAATTAATAAGGACTGGCTGTGGTGGGGCAACTCAGAGTTTGATAAAGCGTCACCTGCCCTGATTCAACACTGCAGCTCCACCATAAAGCAAAGCTATCATATCTCTGATTTCAAGGCACCATCCTTGATTTTGTCCCTTTATCCAGACAGAATAAAAGTCTATTCCAATAAACAACCCAGGAAAACCAAGCCATTGTTAACACTCGGCACCTTGTGAGAGCCTGTTCTGCTACTGAGGTCCAAAGGGCGTGGAAGTTTAGAAGCCTCTTATAGGAGCAAAGCAGAGGTCCAGGAATCCAATACCTCTCCCTAAGAGAGAGGAGAGAAATTCTAGACCTAAAATTATGATTGACTAGAATCTCAGGCACTTCAGCAGAGTCCAAAAGAACTGACAAAACTATTGTCATGAGCACCACTAGAATGTCTTGCCTCCGTACCCTTTGGTACCACAGCTACACATCTCCTATGCGTATTGGCTGATCTGTGCCTCCTGATGCCTGCTAAGTGCCAATACAGATTTTGGTGGCACAATTCCTGGTTCATGTAAGGCACTCAGAAAACCATGGTGCCTGTTGCCATGAAGGAATGTCAAGAGAAAAAGAACTGCTCAATCTTGAAGTGAGGGTTTGAAATGGGCTGCTGGATAGACTCAGAGGATCAGAAATGAATTTCATGGGCAGTCACAGGAGTTAAGATGCCACTTGGGATGCCCATACCCTATTTTGGAATGCCTAGGTTCAAGTCCCAGACCCCCTCCCAATTCCAGCTTCCTGCAATTGGGCAACCTGGGAGGCAGAAGATAATAGATCAAGTGATCATGTCCCTGACACCTACATAGGAGAAATGGGTTTCATTCCTAGCTCCTGACTTCAGCTTGCCCCAGCCCTAGCTGTTACAAGCATTTGAGGAGTGAACCAGCTGATGGGCAATCTCTGTCTCTGTGAGTCTCTCTGTATTTAAAATAAATAAGTAGTTAATAAAAGAAGCTAATTTGTGTAAAATCAGCATCATCCCTTCCTCATTTTGATTAACCAAACCAGAAGATTTTGAAGAGGGAAAATATTTCCTTAGAATATTTATTATCATATGTCTACTTTCTCTTCCTTACTATTCCTAAATTTCTCTTGAATTCTATATAAGTATATCTCACTTAATCTGAAAAGAAAACTTTCCAGATTCTATGGTAGGTGAAGTGATGGGTGTGAGGGTGACAGCCAGAGCCAGACACCCTCACTGCTACAGAACTTGTGAGCAAGTCCATCTAAGGCAGGACTCCACCCCCGAACTGTCTTTATACAACCCAGAGTCAGGCTGAGGGAGGAGGAAAACTGTGGTGAGAAAACAGGAGAGAGACAAACTTTTCATTGTCTAACTTGTACAGTTGCCACTAGCCCTTCACTCATTTTCATTAAGCTCACATCTCTATGTTTTCCCTTCATCAGATATTCTTGGGCTTGCTTAGGAATTTTGCCTTAGTCCACTTGTGTTGCTGTAACAAAATATTTTTCACAGGGTAATTTACAAACAGAAATTTGTCTCTCGTAGTTCTGAAGGCTCAAAGTCCAAGATCAAGGCACCAGTGTCCGGTGAGGGCTGCTCTCTGCTTCCAAGGCAGTGTCGCATCCCCACAGAATGGAAGGGGCAGATTCTGTGTGCTCACATGGCACAAGTGGATGGTTAAGGACAAAGGATATACACTCTCCCTTCACTTATAAGGTCATCCATTTTGACCTTTTATAAGGTCATACATAATCTTTCTTCATGACTTAATCATTTACTAAATGTACCACCTCTTAATACTGTCATAATAGTGATTATTCCAATGTATGAATTCTGGAGGAATGCAGAGGCATCTGTACTGGACAGGGAAACTGCGACAACTGTACGGAGGCTCCTATAAGGAGTCCTGGCTGGGGTTCCCCATGCCAATCCCTTACTGGTGTATGAAATAACAAGTCTTTTTGCTGGCAAAGACTTTCAAACTGCTTTTTTCCACATTTATTCAATATATCTAAGCAGCAGGACAAGAACCTAGTGTTCTGTAGCAAGTGATTGAATGTCTTGGTAGTGTACCCTCTCTCGACATCTGTGCCCTCTTGCCACCCCACCTCAATGAAAGCCAATGCCCAGTCCTGTCTGCTTTGAATCTCTGCACCTGTGTTTCCTCCCACTTCCTCAAGAATCTCATCTATCAACTATGCCCTCTTTCATCTGCACTTTCTACAGTACCAGTTTAACGACTTTTCCTCTTCTACTTCCACAATGAAGCATAATTATGTCTTTCCCATGTAAATAAAAGCCAAGGAGTGGTTTCCTTCCTATTTTCAGACTTAGCCCCTCAAAACCATCAACTCAGAGAGCTCCTCCTCTTCAACTTGATCTTTCAGTGGGGTCAGGGGCTTCAGACGCAGCAAGCCACTTGTCCTTGAAACTCTTTAGTTGTCTGGCTTCCCTGCCCCTCCCTCTCCATTCCCCTCTCCTTCCCTCTGCTCCTTTCCCTCCCCCTTCCCTCCCCCTCCAATTGTCTTCACATCTTTGCAGCAGCTCACTGTAGATCTGATTGTTACTCCACCCTCTTTCTCTAAGGGCTAATTCCAGCCAGGTGGGCCCTCATCAGCCATAATTTGTACTGCATGGCCCCGGAGGCAACTTCCCAAGATGGAAAGACTAGATTCACTCACAAAACTGGAGTTGGGGTTGGGATTGAGAAGCAGCCAGACAGGTGATCTCAATGCAGGAGGTTTAAACTTGGGAGCTATGGGTTTGTCACCTGCACAGAACAACAGAGGTCAGTGTTTGGATGGAAAAGGGGACCAACTTTGCTAAAATGTGGGGACCCACATGACACAGTACCTGCGATGCTTCTGAAGATTTCCCAATTCCTATGTCCAGAGTCTTAAGTGCCTAAATGTCCTACTAGCCTTCAAATAAATTCTAGAAAAGTAAATTTTTGCTCAAACTACCGGTGTTGGCATCTGTGACCTACCACCTCAGGAGCCTGCATTACCAGACCACTTCTTCTATACTCTTTGACACCTTCTTCTCACTGCAAGTAGCAAGGAGCTTCACTTTTTTTCTCTTCTGGGTTTGCGTACTCTACCTTGGTGATGTTTTCCACATACATGGCTTTATCTACCACCTCTGGGTGGCTAACTCCATCATCTAAGACACCATGAAAACCTCTTTTCCAAGCTCTTGGCAGTTGTAACTGCTCAGGAACATGGCTAATCTCTGTGTGGATATCCCACAAGGCTCTTATAAACAACCATTCCAAAACTGAACTCAAGCCTACTGCTTTGTCAATGCTTTCTTGACTGATGAATTATCACCTCCTGTCACCTAAGTCATGAATCTGACTTGGGTTTCACATCTTCCTCTGCTTCACCCCTCCACACCCAGTGCAATCTCCATGTCCCAGTGATCTGCATCCTTGAATTCATCCTCTGCTCCCTGTCTGACCTTTTTTTCTATTTGATGGACAGGGACAAATAGAAGACAAACATAGAGATTCCATCTCTGGCTCACTCCCCAAACACCTGCAACAGCTGAGGCTTGGCCAGGCTGAAGACAGGAGCCAAGAACTCAACTTGGGCCTCCCACCTGGGAGTCACCAGTTGAGTCACCACTGTGGCCTCCAAGAGTCTGTATTAGCAGGAAGCTGGAATCTCTTGCCAGAGCCAGATATCAAACCTAGGGACTCTGACATGAGATGCAGAAAACTTCACTAGGCTAAACACCTGTCCTGTTGTATTTAGATTTCATCATTTAATTTGAATCCTCTTTATCTTCTTGCCTCCTAACATCCTTCCAATCTTTCTCTACTTCTAAAACAAAAATCTGGTTGGACTAGCAGCTGATTTTCTCAAAGTTCAAACCTCTTGGAACAACATCCTAGAACGATGATGATGACTGACCCCTGTCTATACTGCCAGCTCACATTTTACCATTTCCCAGGTGAGCTTCTAAACTTCATCCATACTGAAAAAGTTGCAGAATCCTTGTCGCTCCCCCTC